TCCCCAGAAAATATACTCTAAACAAATCAGAAAAGACCTTCCAGAATGTGGTTGCTTTTCTGATGAGAGGGTTGTGCTCTTCTTTTCTTCGATCTCCTGTTGAGTTTGTAGGTGTTCAGAATGGTTTGATCCCTATCCAGCTGAATTCCTGAGAGGAGACGAAATCCAGGTCTCCTACTCCTCCGCCATCTTGCTCTGCCCACAGTGGCATACTCTTAAAAAGACATGGCCAGGGATTATTTGATTATCTTAGACAGGGGTCAGCAAGCTTTTTCTGTGCCGGCCCAGCCAGTAACTATTCCTGGGTTTGCGGGTCTCTGTTGCAACTCTGTGGTGCCTACCACCGCAGCGTGAAAGCGGCTGCAGACAGCATGCAAACAAAATGCATGTGATTATTTCCAAAGATCGCTGTTTCCACATTGGCCCCTGAGCTACAGGTGGATGACTCCTGCTTTAGGAGACCATGACTGTGTTTAACTTTGTCTTTTACTATTGACTCAAGCCTAGGCCCTGTGAAGTTGTATGCTAACTTACAGATTTTTGACTGTTGGAAGAGATTACCTCCCCCACCCCAGGTTATGATTTTACTGCCCTGTAGGACATAACCAGTTTTGTTTCTAACACAGCAATCTTATTTTAACAGTTTTCTAAAATGCCTATAAATGCCCATTTCCTTAAATGTCTTGGCACCCTCCTTACGATCTCTCTGGTTCCTTCGCGAATGAATTAAGTAAGTTTTTGACACGCGTTTATTCTACATCTGTTTGCATAGTGTTTTTTAACATTTACAAATCATATTTCGACAAGCTTGTTACTTAGAATACCATTTATAACTCCGTTTTAGAGTTCAGTTGTCATTGCGTGATGTGCCAGATATCAGATTCACTACCTTAAATACATTTGTCCTTATATTATGTCTATAAAGTAGCTATTATTATCACCATTTTGCAGATGAGGAAACTGAAGCATATAGAAGTTAAGTAGCTATGAGCTGGCATAATTTACATTTGACCTAAGTTTTTCTGCTCTCCACAGCCCAATAATAGAGCTGAACTGCCTTTCTTGGAAAATAAACATTATTGGCTTAAGTGCAACTTTGTTTAACAGGAACTTTGTCTTAATTTCTGGATTGTAATCTAACTTTTGAGACCTAATATATGGCTTAAAAAGATACATTCAGATATGTACCCCCTCATGACTAAAATTATGTACTTTTTTTTCCATCTTTTTACCTTGACAAGTTTAAGACTATTTATAACTTCCCTTTTAGCTGTATACATATGCTGTTTGTCATGTTTATTACTTTCAGGTGACTTGAAAGATGGTAAAAATAAGACAGACAGGAAAGATCAATCTAATGTCGGAAGTGATTCAAAGAAAACAGATGGTAAGAGCATAATTCCCATTATATTTTTCCATAAAATGTGCAATTTAATGCAGGTTTGTTAGAATTACACCTCAAATTGAAATTGTGGTTGTTGATATATTCTTATATTATACCCTAAAAAAACCCTTCACTGCATTTAAGGAGTACTCGATCCCTATTTCAATAATTTACAGATTATCATTATATCTCTTCCCCTCCACCATCCTTTGCTCCATCACAAATGCATTCTATACACTCTCTCTTTACCACTTGCCATTTTTTCATTTTCACTTTAAAGATGCCTCTGGACTTGCTGATTGGAATGGGATGGAATATGAGTCTTTGGTTGTGAATTGTGCAGCATAAATGGGAAATGCTCCATGTTTTCAGTTTTTACATTTTCTCTTTTAATGAGGAATTATTGCTTTCAATAAGAACAGAAATCTGTTCGGTGTTATCACTATGTTGGGAGACCCACATATTGGAGAACATACATAGTTGTAGAATGCAGTTTGGTTAGCAAGAATAAGTCTCAAAGGCAAGTTTTGAATGGCAGTCCCCACCAGACCAGTTAGACTGAACCTACCTTGTGATGTGCTCCATGAACACTGCTTTTACTTTTCACAAAGAGCATTCCACTCTCTCTAAAACCTCAAAGTTCAGATTATATTATCCTTCAGACTTTGTACTATCCTACTGAGAAAACTGTTCTCGCCTTTTTTATAAATCTCCTGTTTCACTTGTAACATGGGCTTATTCTTAGTGACTCCTTCATACATGTACATGATATTAAACTGAAAATGCACGTTTCTAGGTGTCCCAGACACTCTTTGAATCATACCTCCCTGGAGACATTGTATTGGATGCTCAGCTGTTCTTTGATAGTTTGGTTTTAATGTCACTGAAGAACAAATACTGAGTATCCAGGTGGAGGAGTAAGAAGAAATTTGAACACAACTCCACCTATTCAAAAGGAAGCAGCGCCTCTAACTTTCATCTCTAAGCCACTGTGACAGGCTTTCTTTATTCATATGTGTGAAATCAGTTCTCAAGCCTTTTCTTCTAAGCTCATTCAATAATTCACTCCAGGTGTCTTATCACATAATACCTAGGGAACACCCATGTGCAGTTTTTCACCAAATTGTTTATGCAAATGGAAACCACATACCTCATAAAGATACCCTCCTTGAATGATTGTGACTAAGACATGCATTACACAGAGACAAAACAGAATTCAAAATGACAGTCATCCTAGCCAGACTCTGTTATGGGTAATTGTTGCCAGATATCATTAAACCCAAGTCAAGGTAACACAAGCCAGAAAATGTACAGTAGAGGAAAATAGTGTTAGAGGTAAACCCAGCACCTGGACACCTGGCCCATCCTGCATTCAGTGACTAGCCCATCTGAATTCCTACAGCATAAAAGTGCAGAATAAACTAAGTCCCAAATCTTTAACATTGGCTCTTGTTGCATTTTTATATTGTGCTACAAATATCTGTTATGTTGTTGTCATGTGGGCATTGTGAATTACATTTTATTACCTTCATTAAGCCCTTCGATTTTACCTGTGCCCTTTATAATTGAATTGTCCCCAAGTATTTAAAATAATTAACAGCTTTTTTAAAAGCGGGGTGTGGGAAGGGGTGAAGAGATACTATGTTCTATTGAACAAATAAACGTAAAGCTTGATTGCTTGGTGAACAAGATTCTTGATCCCATTGGACAGTGAACAGGGTGCAGTAGATAAAGAAGAGACATTTTCTGATGTCTAATCCTTTTCCCCTCCAAAACTCTAACTTTCCACTGATTCAAATGGGTCTGGTGTGTTTATACTAGCAAGTTTATACACAAACTCGGACATGAACAACTTTGTATTTTAATTTCATTGATGGGGTAACATGACATCAGTCATTCTTATGATATCACTGCTTTGATATCATAAGGACATAGATCACTGGGCTTTAGTTACTTGTGCTATCCTAGCCAAAAATCTTTCCCAGGACTAAAGCTATTCTTGGTGGCATGAAGTGGAAAAGATTTTGATCCGTCTCATTTATCTCTTCACCTTTGGTCATCAAGACTCTCTACTTTAGGAAAAAATTTAAATGATACATGGATCAGTGGGTACATTGATTTTTAAAAGCTGTCTAGTAACAACCACATACATTTTGAACATTTCTTTTTAATAGATCCTATTACATTTGATGACCAGAGGGAGTCAAACTATTTTTAATGCCTCTACCCCTAATACAGCCCCTGGGAACCAGTGGTGACCAGTTCTGTCTAATTTTTGAGAGGGAGTATCCAAGCACAATTCAGTGCCCAGTATGACCAAACCCACTATGGTTTGAAGTTGCAACATTGTACGCATTCAGAAAGAAACCTGATGGAAACTGGACCATGGTTGGTTATTCCCAAACTCCATTGAGCTGAGGCACACACAGAAGGAAGGGGTATGTGCTAAAAGAATAAATTATATCCTGGCATAGTGAACACATTGCAGTTGTACATTATCTCTGTCAGGCTGCTGAGGTAGTACTTAGTATCCTGCAGCACTAATTTTTGAACTGACTTCAAAGAATGAATGTCCTTTGAAACTACCTTGTTTACTCTTAGGGAGAAATGTACTAACATAAAAAGATCGGGGCCTCTGAGCCAAGATTCTCTCAGGGCCTAAACTTTTACAGTGTCACTGGGAGACTTATGAGGTGCCAGTGAATGAATTATTTCCTGTGTGTTTTTAGTCATGTTTGAAACAGCATAGCCTCTTGGACCTGTCATAATTTTTTATAGTTGCCCAGAAATATGAATTTGCCTTTAACTTTATTTGACTACAGAGATATAAGAGAGAGCAACCATTTGTGTCTCTCAAAAGATTGATTATAATTAGCCCCTACAGGGTTATTTGCCAAGTCTCAGAGAGGGAGTTCAGCAGGCATTTCTCCTTCACTGAATGTTCTGGGAATTGGAATGTTTAAAGGTGTTCATGAAATTTAAAAGTCAACTACGTAGACTGAAAAGGGTAGACAAAAGACTATTTATGGACCTCCGCTTCCGCCAAAGAGGACTAATAAGAATTAGATTCACCCTTTCACCTGAAACCATAATAATCATAATAAAAGACAACTTATGTGGAAGAATAGATTCCAAGATACTGGACATCAAGAAATGAAGGACAGTGATCTCCAAGAAACAGGAAACAAATGAAATAAATCCTTTGATTGCTCCAGCTTACTCCCTTGAGAGGGTTTCCAGGCAGCATAATGAAGGGGAACCCAGGCAGACCTGATGGACTCCTTGAGTTGAAGAGTTGGATAAGGATCCAGGGAGAGCCATGGTGGCTAAAGTTAACAAGATAAAGCACCAGAGAGGAGAGAGCTGTAGAGATATAGAACTCCACAGATCTAAAGAGTAGTCATTCATCAGAGTACTGATTGACCCATACAGATAGGAAACTACCTGAGATCAGGAAAGAACCATTCAAGAGGATTAGGGGGAATGGTCCTAATGTTCACACCTCATATAAGGCAAGAAAAGTGCCTATTCCCACTAGCCAGACTTGAATACCTCATAATTTAAAGGGAATTGGGTAGAATTCACCTAATTGTCTTATTTTATTAGTGGGGGAGTAAATAGCTGTAGGCTAAATGCTGCTTTGATCTCACCTAATAAACCTTGAAAACAAGACATAAAAGGATCCCCAAGTGTTTCCAAATAACTACACCCCAGAGTAAAGCTCATAGGTATATATAGAAATACAAAAATATCCAGTACCCAACAAGGTAAAATTCACAATGTCCAATATCCAATCAAAAATTACTGGATGTGCAAAGAAGCAAGAAAATACTACACATAATGAGAGAGAGAGAGAGACAACTGAAACAGAAGTTAGAATGTCAGACAAGAACATTAAAGTAGTTCTTATAACTATAGCCCATATGTTTGGAAGTTGTTTAGAGACATGGGAGATATAAAGAAGGGAAAATCAAACTTCTAGAGATGAACACTATAATGTCTGATGTGGAAAACACACTGAGTGGTATTAGCTAAATAATATTGGATGAGATTAATAATAAGTACAGTGGATGAGATTAGACATTGTAGAAGAAAAGAGTAGTGAAAAACTATCCAAAATGAAACAGAAAAAAATTATAAAGAGCATCAGTGAATTGTAGGACATCTTCAACAGCCTAATGTATGTGTAACTGGAGTCCCTAACATAAAGAAGAGAGAGAGGAGGAAAGAAAAATATTTGATGAAGTAATTTACTTGGGCAAAGTAAATTTTGCCCAGTGATGAAAAGAGTAAATGCACAGACTCAAGAAGCTCAGTAAAGCCCAAGCACAAGAAATTTGAAGAAAATTACACCAAAACATGTCATAATCCCATTATTCAAACCAATAATGAAGAGAAAATTTAAAAATATCGAGAGGAATAAAAAACTCATGCGCAATTGAACAAAGATAATGATAATTGTAGATTTCTTATCAGAAACAATGCAAGTAAGAAGACAGTGGAACAACATCTTTAACATGCTGAATGAAAAAAGAATTTGATTAAGAACTCCATACCCAGCAAAAATATCTTCAGATATAAAAGCTGAAAGAATTCATCACTGGTAGACCCCACACTACAAGAAATGTTAATGAAGGACAGTAGGATAACTATGCCAGTTGGAAATATGGACCTGCACAGAAGAATGAGGCACACGAAAAATGGTAACTAGATGGATAAATACATAAGATGTTTTCTTATCATTTAAATCTCTTAAAGATCATTGACTATTTGAACAAAATAATAATAATACATCATCTGATTTATAAGATATACAACTGAGGGGCACTGTGTGGTGTGTTCGGTTAGGTGGCTGACTCTTGGTTTCAGCTCAGGTGGTAATCTTAGGGTCATGAGATCAAGTCCTGTGTTGGGCTCCATGCTCAGCATGGAGTTTGCTTGAGATTCTTTCTCCCTCTCCCTCTGCCCCTCCTGTGTATTCCCTCTCTCTTAAATAAATAAAT